AATAAGAGTTTGAGCATCTTGGCGTATTCCTTCATGAAACACCACTAGCAGTTACACGCCTAAACATCAGATGGCGCAGGTGAGTCACGACTGACAGCAGTAAAAACGGACGAAGGACAGATCGCTGAGTGGACCATGCTGAAGTCGTTCTACTACATACAACACGACATAAAAAGGTATCAGATATGACTTTTATTCTATAATTAACTTTTATATTATGATTAAAGTACTGAAAAGTCCTTAACAAAATCATATTTTATGCCTCTATATTTTTTGGTCTTGTCAGGCATTTTAACAGCTCAAGATGGCTTTGGTGCCCTATGATGAGAATCTACTGCCTGCGCTGGCAAAACTTCACCAGACTTCAGCTGAATTTCATCTGGCCAATCACAGGATCAGACTCAGCCAGGACTGGAACCGATTGGGTGTCGCTGCTGTGGTCTGGGACGCAGTAAGTTCAGGTTCATCATCTGCACTTATTGGGTTAAAAACTGGACTGGGGGGGGGGGGGGCTGTAGGTTTGAATCCCGCAGGATTTGCTTACAAGTGTGTACCTTTTCCAGTCATCAACCATAAGTTTATTTTCTAGGCAGTAGTGCTCTGCATGTTCCTGGAGATGGGAAAGGTGGATCTGAAAGGAAAAAGGGTTATTGAGCTTGGAGCTGGCACAGGTTTGGTGGGCATTGTAGCTGCTCTGCTTGGTAAGAATGAATACTTTGCCTGAAACATAATTTTTTTTCTGAATTATTTTAGTCAGTAATACTTCATTCTTGCAGGAGCCAATGTGACAATTACAGACCGAGAGCCTGCATTGGAATTTCTGGCTGCCAATGTGCGTGATAACATTCCTCCCAGCCAGCAGGGGGCGGTACAGGTATCTGAACTTACCTGGGGTGAGAATCTACATCTGTATCCCACAGGCAGCTTTGATTTGATCCTGGGAGCCGACATTGTTTACCTGGAGGAGACGTTTCCCGCCCTCCTGCAGACTCTTGAACACCTGAGCTCGGAGACCACGGTGGTGTTGTTGTCCTGTCGGATTCGTTACGAGCGAGACGAGCGCTTCCTCATGGAGCTACGGCGGAGCTTCTCTGTGCAAGAGGTCCATTATGACTCTCAAAGGGACATTCACATTTACAGAGCTGTGAAGAACACAAAAAACACCGAACTGTAAAAGCTCTGGATGGAGCTTCCTGCTTGTAAAGCATTTTAAGCTTTCTAAAAATTGTTGAAGCTGATTAAATGACAATATTTAACAGGGCTATGATGTTTATATGTTATGTTTGGCGTCACTGCTTGGGCAGCAGGCGGCACTGCTATACAGGTCTGGAGTAGTAATCTGGCTTTATGCTAAAAATAGACACCTGTTTTGCCTTCAGCATCTCTTTCTATTCATCTTCACTTTCTTGACTTTTTTTAAACCTCGTACTTGGGTTACGAATAGATTATTATTAGTAGTAGTAGTATTAGAATAGTATAGTATAGTTTATTAGTATTATAGTATTAGCCCTTTTCCTCACTCTGGATATGTACAGTTCTTGAAGGGTGGGCAGGGGAGCACCAATAATCCTTT